TAGGTTCAGAGATCTTTTTTCTGGGCTAAGATTTTATTTCTGTCATTTTAACTCAGTGGGTGAGATAAGCTGAGAACTGTAGAGGAGATAAATCTAGAAGAGTTTTATTTATAAAGTCTCACAGTTATCAGGAAGGGCCTGAGTCATTTAATATTTTCTTATAAACTGTGTAATCTTATAGCTACTTAATCTCTGCTTCTATTTCCCTATATATAAAGTGGGGATAATAATAGTTAACATCTTATTGGCATATTATGAGGATTAAATGTGTTAGTATATATAAAGCATTTGGAACAGCATTTGACATATTAATATTATATTATTATTATTACATGTTATATTTTTAGTTAAATAAGTTAAATTGATATATATGTCATCACGCTTATTTTAGCCCAGAATTTTATGGAAACTCAAGTTTAATGTTAGTGATTCATGCTGAAGGAGACACAGCCAGGACTCAGTGGGCCTAGAATTCATATTTCTAATTCTGCAGAGTAAAACTTCATTAAGCCATAAACCCATAATTTGGAATTTATGGTAATTCAAGAACAATTTTATGTTCTGGTGTGTGAAGGCAGAGATTTTTAGACAAATAAATAAAAGGTATTTTTGACTAGCATAAAGGAAAAAATATTTGATAAAATTAAACTACTCTAGAAATATTCTCTAGCACAAAAATAAAGGTGCATTCATATATAAGATATGGAGAGGTTATTTAAAAATGGTTCTTATTTGTATTTACAGTAGGTTTAGGAAGACATGTACTTGACAATACTGTATTAGTGATCTTATGGAAATTTATGCACACAATTTAACAAATCCAATCAATATTCAAAGCTAAGAGATATTATTCATTAAAAAAAAGAATAAATACAAATGTTTAAACAATGTTAGGTGTTAAACAGGTAACCCACGTTCCATGAGAACCTCATTCAAAATCATCTTTACTGATGCTTCACCAACAGCAGGAGGTTAGGGAAGGTGATCTGGCACCTGTGGGCACATTCCATACTTTTTCTTCAACAGGCAAAAGGCAATGATATGGAGTACCACATTACTCCTTCTCCTAACTGAATTACGTTAGTTTCTAGCGGGGGGATCGGGGTGGCAGAGGGACAGAGTGACTTGCATTTTGAATTTTATACCATGAACATATAATATCTATTCAAAAATTTAAAACCTTAAAAAGATTTAATACAGTTGCCTAGTCTTTCCTTATCACAAAATTTTCTTTCCTTGGCTCCGATCACATCGCAGGAGTTTTCCTCCTACCTTGTGGGCCAGTCCTGAATTGACTCTTCTGATGGTTGTAATTGTCCTTCACCAGAAGATCGTCTTCTCAATCCTCTAATCTTCTTATTCTGTCCATCCTCCTCGGATAAGTTTCATATACTCCCATAATTTAAGTTGCTTACATCCTCAGGGTCATCAAATAGGCACTCATTCATTAGAACATATGTATTAGGTTTCTACATGGGACACTGGGTACTGGACTATAGCAGTTTGCAAAGCAGAACACAGTCTGTTGTTTTGTTTGTTTGTTTGTTTATTTGTTTTACCTTTCATTTTATTCAGGAAGATAGAATTACAATAAGTAAAATAAAAAATATGTATATTTTTAATAGCAGTACATTTCAAAGAGAAAATTAAAGCAAAGAGGGAAGTAAAGTATCAGGATGGAACGTGAAAATTGTGTATTGGCCCCAGGCCACCCCTCAGTTTTATGCTTCAGGTGCATGCATCAAAATGTCCAGTGCACCTTAAGCTTATCATGACCCCAGCTGAATGTATTGTCCCCATCAGCTTCCTTCTGCCACCACCACTGAGCTGCAAAAGCCAGAAATGTATGAGTCATCCTTCAGTTCTTCTTCCTCTCCATATCCCATCTGTCACAAAGTTTGACCAGTTCTCCCAGATAACCACAGCCACTTTTCTTCCATCTTCACTGTCATTATCCTAATTCAGACCAAAATCACCTCTCACCTGGATTCCTGCAATATCAAATCCCCTACAGCCATTACTATCTTCCTCCAATGTGATTAAAACTCGTCTTGTCACTCCTTTACTTCCACAGATCAATGGTCCCAAATTTCTCCTGCCTAGCTTTCCAACCGAATCACTCTTAGAGCCTCTCACCCATGTCCTCTAGTCTTACTGTCCTTCCTTCAGTCTTCATTCTTGGCCCAGGATATTTACTCATACTATTTCTTCTTCCTGGAATATTCTTCCCCCAACTCTTCATCAAGCTAATTCAGCCTTCAAATCTCAATTGAAGAATCACTTCATCAGACAAGCATTACCCAAATCCTCAGACTGAGTTATATGCACCAATTATGGATTCCTAATACCCCATTTTTCCCACTTCACAATATATGCTGCATTTGTTATTACTTCTATAATGGCTCTTTTCCACACTGGAATATAAGCTCCAAGTGAATAATGACCATGTCTGTCTTTTCAACACATCGCCCTATAAAAAAAGGTTGACAGGGAGTAGGTGCCAAATACACAGTTACTAAATAAATCAGTAGATACTATAGCAAATACTAATAGCAGATGGCTAGTTACCGCTTTTACTTGGCATTTATATGATTTTGAATCATGATCTCTTAAGAGTACTTATGTTTTGCCTTCTCGTTGTACATCTGGGATGATGGAGGGTGCTCTCTAACAACTGACACATCTCTAGTTTCAAGCAGCGCCCTCCCCTGCACATTACTGTTCCAATTTTCACATTCTTAGGCAGTGTTATCAGCAAAGTCTTCCAGAGAGATGTCCTAGTGTAGATCCTGCTGCACAATAAGGACCCACTTCAGGTATAAGGTGATCTCGAGTTTACAACTAGTAGGACTCTCTAATTATATTAGTTACAGCTATTGGTGAGAGATATCCCTGAGATGTTACCACATAAAGAAAATAAATACTCTTTTATCTTCTTTCCTTTTGATTGCTACTTGGGTCTTTAATGTATTTTCTTCTTAACCTTACCTTACTTCCCTTGAAATGTCTGACTTTCTCTTCTCAGGCTAATCTGTGATAATTGCACCAAATTTATGTCCACTCATTCTTTATAGGTTAATGGTATCAACCTGTTTGCTTTTCTTTCCATTCATTATACCTTATTCATTAAAAAATTGCTAATTATTAATTACATGCCAAATGTTCCACATATATGTATGTCATCCTATAACAATCAAATGGAGAATGGATTATTATTATTATTTTCATTTTTCCTGAAGAGGAAATTAATGTTTAGAGAGGTTAAATGGCCTGCCCAAGTGACAGTTACTAAGTATTTAAACTGAAATTTGAACCCAAAGGTTGGCCTCTAATTCCTTTGAAATTTACAGTTTGCATTGTGCTACTGTTAGACTTGCTGGGATGTGAGTTACTTTTATAACTATTTGCCTTCCTCTTCCATAATTTTCTGTATACAGTAGACCTTCAGTAAATACTTGTTTAACTGTTCACTGGGCCATCATCATTATTATTTTCAGCGGATGGCAGTATCTGTGGTTTGGTTCTGTTTACTGAATTTTGTTCTTTCAGCCTAAACTGAAGGGAGCCTAAGTAGGAGCTAGCTGCAGGCAGTGCAGAAAGTGCAGCCTATATGACTAAGGGTCAGAAGGAAAACCCTGTCTTGAGGTGCTTTCCAGAGGCAGAGAAGATTTCTAGGGCTTCACCAGTTGGCTCTCTGGGGTATAATGTTAACAACCTAAACTAGTTTTCCCTGCAATAGTTACTTGTGTAAAAGGTTCCATTGTGTATGAGTAAAAAGAAAAAGGCAACTTTCCTTGGCCATAGATATATGTTTTGATTCCTGTAACTCTTAAGCCAAATAATTACAAATAGGAGAGTTGCCCATTCTCTCTCTCTCCCTCTCTCTCTCCCGTGTGTGTGTGTGTGTGTGTGTGTGTGTGTGTGTGTGTGTCCTCTGTCTTGGGACTGACTCCTAGGAGCCTCGCCGCCCTGTAGAACGCCAGAATGGAGTTCCGCATTATTTACTGTACTGTCTTACCACTCTCTAACCCAGAAAACCCCTTACTTGGTGCAGGCAGAAGGCTCTCCCTGCTCGCCTTCTACCCCAGGGGAGCTGTGGGCTTCCCTCACCGCAGCCCTCCCGCCTTCACACTTCCCTTACAGTTATTACCCCAAGCCGCCCCAGAAAGACCTAGCCGGGGGAGGCTGTCAAGAGGTAAATGGGTCGAGAGTGTAGGTCGGACCTGGACCCGGAGGAGTCTCAGGTGCTGTGGAGACCACAAGCCTGCCGAGAGACCCCGACTCACGACCGCCTATCCCGGCGACAGGAGCCCCCTCCCAGACACGGGCTGGGCGCCTAGCTACACCAGCCAGCAGCCGGCAAGGTCCAGCACCTGGGAGTCAAGGCAGTCTAGTCTAATGGTTAGGGACACTGGCTTTGGAGCCCAGTCCTAGTTCCAATTTTAGCACCTGGGTGACCTTGGGCAAGTTCCTTAGCTTCAGCGCTGTAGTTTCTAAATCCATAGTGTGGGGAAACTAAAGTGATGTCTAAACTAGGATTGCTATAAGAATTAATTAACGAAGCACACCTAGCACGTAGTAGGCGTTCAGTTAATGGTAAGGATAATTAGTACGAGGAGTGAGAAGTTTTGGGGTCAGAATGTAGGTTTGAGCTCTGACTCGCAGTTATTTTCGAGGAGTGGGGGAGGGGTGGCGGGAGCACCTGCCCTACACCCCCTGCTCCCTGGTGCCAAGATTAACTCGGGAGTGCGGGGAGAGCCCTTCGTCGCCCCGGCTCCGTCAGACTGCTCTGATGCCCCGAACCCGCTGGCGCCGCCGGGCACCCGCGGCACGTCTCTCTCTCTCTCTCAGGCTACGTACGGAAAGACTTCCTTGGACATCTCCATCCCTCTCCAGCCCCCTGGCGCGCTCGCTGTCTCCTCTGGGTCCGTTGGCCACAGCGAGCGCGATCCAGCCTCGGGCGGGAGGGAAGAGGCAGCCTCTGGGTGTGCGAGTCGCTGCGCCCCGGGAAAAGGAGAGAGGAAGGGGTGGCGCGGCGACCGCGGGAGAGCGCAGTGCCCCGGGCGGCCCTGGGGCCCCTCCCTCATTTTGCCTGCCTTCCAGGGACTGCTCTGGCTTTCCGAGTCCCGATGCACAACCCCTGAACAACCGAGTGTGCCTCTCCGCCACCCGCCCTCCCGGCTGGGACAAGGGCCGGAGGCGCCAGCTCGGCACGCACGCGGCAGGAGTGGGCGGCGAGCACAGGCGGGAGAGGTAAGGAGGGGCAGGCGGCGGGGCTGGGGGAGTGTGCCTGCACGTGCGCGCGCGTGTGCGCGTGCTCTGAGGGGGCGTGGGGGCCGCCAGGAGAGCCCCGGTCGGCACCTGCCCTCCCTTCACGGTGTCGCCCCCGGCACCCACGCTAGGGCGCTTGCCTCCCGCATCCCTCATTCGCCCCCACGTCTCACCACCCCCACCATCCAAACCCCACCATCCCTACTAATAATTTCCCACTGCAAAATCAGACCAAAACCTGGAGAGATAGCGTTGCCTTTCTGCTCCCATCGCCCCCTCCCCGCCCCCCTCCTGCTATAAATAATTTGGACTAGCGGGTCAGGCACGTCACACGGTAAGAAACCGGGACCCCGAGGTTTTCTTCTCTGGGAACGGGGCAAGGTGCGAGGAGCAGGAGAAAAAAATCACTCGTGAGTAGTGAAGAAAAGCCTGCTCCTTGACTCCTAGAAAAGACTGAGCAGCGTTTTATTTTTCTCTAATTTTTCTGGCTTCCTTTTTAAAATTTATCAGGGTCTTTTTTATTCTACATCGTCTTCCCCCCACCCCTCAGCCCCAAATCCAGCGGATTGCTCAGCGTTCTTCCCATTGGTTTATTTTGTCCCTTCCCCTACGACTTCTGCTCCCACCATCTCCTCCCCTCCCCCAGCCACACAACCCCCACCTCCAGCATCCATCTCGTCCTAGACAGGGCACTATTCGCCGAAGAAATAAAGTTCAAACTCCTCTCCCTGTCTGCTTGCTGAGACCAGAAGTGGTCTCCCAGGCACCCATTTTACGCTTGCACTCCACACCTGCTATCCCTTAAATTTGTGTGTGTGTGTGTGTGTGTGTGTGTGGCACGCACGCGCGCGCGCGCACATACACACACACACACACACCACACACACACACACACACACACACACAGACACACACACACACACACACCCTACAACCCGCGAGGTGCAAAACTGCCTCCTGCAACTACCAAAACTTAACAGCCACTCTAGCTGTTTTTGTCTTAACGAAAGGACAACAGAGATTTTTATTCTGGGTCCTCCTGTGGGGTGACTTTTATATAGTATTTAAATATGTATATGTTATACATATATATGTTTTTCCTTTTTCCCCTTTAATTTTTTTTCTTAGCAAGAAAATCTGCTTGGTCCCAGGCAGCCACTGCTGCCCCTTTGATGTTTTGGTACGCCGTGCGCATGCGCCTCACATTAGAATTACTGCACTGGGCAGACTAAGTTGGATCTCTTCTCTTCAGTGAAACCCTCAATCCCATCAAAAACTAAAGGGATGTGGAGAGTCCGGAAAAAGGGCTACTTTGGGATTTGGTCATTCCCTTTAATAATCGCCGCTGTCTGTGCGCAGAGGTAAGTGTGCCCAGCGTTTCTTTTTCCTTTCTCACTTTGAAGGGCTCTGTCTGCATACCTCTGTGAGCCGGGATCTGTAGTGAGGATCAGATAGATGCTGAAGACGCTGTGCCTGCTGTCTTATTAATGCCTCTGTATTGTCTTTTTCTTTAGTGTCAATGACCCTAGTAATATGTCACTGGTTAAAGAGACGGTGGATAGACTCCTGAAAGGCTATGACATTCGTCTGAGACCAGATTTTGGAGGTAATGGGGTTGCCTTGGAAATAAGAAACAGCCCAGCTATAGCCTAAGCTGTCTTTTAAGCTTTGTGCTCGCTGTCTCTTCCTTCTTCCTCATCGTGGTGTATGTGGTATATTGAATGTGTCTCTGTGTTACCATATTGAGAAACTGATCCAAACTTAAGCTGATTTGTTACTATCCAGCACTTAGATGGTCTTTCGGTGAGACCCTCCTAGTGTGTATTGGTGATTGCTGTCCTTCGGCTTCACTGATATAAATCCTTTGCTTCATTGTCTTTGCCTCATTCAGATACAGATCTCTTAAGTTTAGTGCATAGTGTGTCCAGAGAACCTGGCTTAATGAAGGCAGTCATGAACATTTTTGAGGACAAGATGTGCAGACAATTAGTTGAGAAGTGGCATTAACCCCCTGTGCCTGCCTACTTTAGAAGAGTTTTGGCTGTGGTTTGAAGTGGCTTGTCTCTGGATATTATCCAGTCCTGGAAGCTTCCCTGCATGGGGCATGGGGAGGGCATGCTGAGGGGCTTGGGGGGTAGAGAGGCTTGGGGCGGGGGAGGGTCAGAGACCTCTCTTGATGCAGTCTGAGATACTTTGATATACCCATTTAATTTTGCTTCAGAGTCTTATGGAGCTCAAAGAGTTAAAAACTGCGTAAAGAAGCAGGGGATGGAGTGGGAGAGTGGAATGAAGAGGAGGGGGGTTTCAACACAATATATGCAATTCCCTTGGGCCTGAAACGGTTCCTGTGCTTTTTTGTAAGTTGGGTGTTCTCATGCTGAGACATCTACATACGTAGACAGAGCTGGAATCCCTCATCAATCAGGGCATATGTGTGCATGTTCAATAGAGCATTTCCTAGAGGAGTGCCTGTTCCCCCCACCTCCCTTTTAAAAAAGGAGTAAGGACTTGAAGAATTTAAGGGTGAGCAGTGGGGAGGAACTCGGGGCAGAGTGTCCATGTCCGGGGACAACTCTTGCTAAGAATGAATGAAGTTCTGAGAAATCACGTGGCTGACCATCTTGGTTTGCAGGTCCCCCCGTGGCCGTGGGAATGAATATTGACATTGCTAGCATCGATATGGTTTCTGAAGTCAATATGGTGAGTACTGAGATTTATGGCTGGATCTCCACAAACCTTTACTTGGGGATAGAAAGGAGAAAGGAGCCAGCTGGTAGGGGTGTGGTATGCGTGAGTACGTGTATGGAGTGACAGAAAGGGCAGGGGATTTTGCTTTGGAACCCACTGTGTTTGTGATTTCAGAGGCAGCTCTTTGTGGTCCCTAAGGATTTTTCCAACTGGGTTGAAATACTTGGGACTTGGCTTAAAGCAAGTAAAATGCCTCACACATTCACATGCAAAATACAGCCACATGCAAGACACCTCTTGTAGAAGCCACATTTCTTAAAGTTCAGTGGGAAATCTGGTTCATCAAGTGATATTTTGGATTTGGGTTGGGGGTCAGAAGAAGAGAGGAGGGTTTTGAGTTGACATTTAACAGAATGTAACCTACAAACTAAACTGTAGCGAGAAGCCTGAATAAATTATCTGGTGATACTCATGTCCACTTGTTGCTCTCAGAAACGGCCTCTTTACAGCTGATGGCAGGTCTCCCCCAGTTGCCCACCAGCTCCTTTAAACTCCTGACCACCAAAATAAAATAAAAATCGGCCACCCATGTTTTCAAAAGACATGCTCAGATTCTTGTGCCATCTCTGGTCACTTCTGCAGTGTTATTCACCACGTATCCTAAGCTTGTACAATTTATGGATGGGAGCACTCCTTAGTGTCTACTGCTTTGGACTTGGGGCAAGGGCTAAGAGAAAAAGCCTCCGTGTTCCCGCTGGCAAACACTTTTCCGGGGTTTGCTTCATTGCAGGTGCGCCCCCTGCTGCCCATGCTTGGGCACTGCAGACATACAAGACAAAGATAAGTGTCCTAGATACCCACCCCTACTTGGGCCATTTCTCCAGTGACTTTTCTATTGTGTGTTTCTGAAGTTTTCCCCGTTGGAAAAGTTCCTCTAGAAGGCCCACATTTGAGTGTAAGTTTCTAGTGTTAACTTGGATCGCACACAGCACATTTCCCAGAAGGCTGTGTTGCAGCATGGCTCTGCCTAGAAATGCAGTGCACTGTTAAAGAAGAGGGTCTAGTGAGTAACGTTTAATGCAAAACACTTCTAAGCCGGACTGCAGGACTTAGAAGTTTGGACACTTATTAACGTGAGGGAGCCAGAGTACTCTATAGTGCACATGCTCTCAACATTCCACAGACTTTTATAATCCCAGAATTTAAGTAAAGAGGAAGCTCAAATAACCAGCTTCATCCCCCTGTACACTGTCCAAAGATAGGTGATAATCCTGAGGTATCACAAGATTATGAGACATTGTGTGACTGCTGGAGGTGGTAGTCAACATTTCAGTAATGTTTTATGACATCTAACTTCTCTTCCAGTTATTGGGCAGGTTTTTACCATATAGGATATAAACACAGATTAAAGACAATATTGGCTGATTCAGGACCACAGATTTCTCATACATTTTGAAAATCCCTTGTGTGGGTAGAGAATATTTCTTTCTTGTGACACTATTTAATTTCTCAGATATACAAATACTCGCTTTTGTGGGATTTTAGAAGTCTTTCATCAGTTATTTGAGTTTTACCTTTAAAAAATTGGAAATGTCTTACTATGGGTACATCCTAAGTCCCAGACACTTGAATATACATTTTGTTGCTAAAAATAAAGTGATACATGGATTCCATATGTGATTGAGTTTACAAAACTCTCCTCTTGCATTTTTATTTATTTATGCTCTTTTCTCCTCCCAAATTTTATTTTACCACCTTCTCCCTTAGAGTGTCACAAAGATGGGATTTTATAGAAAAATTAAGAAATATTTAGAATCTAAAGAGACAATGCTGAGATGATTAGAAGTTGCTGCAATGGATTAGTTAATAACTTAGACATATTATATTCCAAATTGTTTAGAGTAGTAGAGGGTTGTGTTTTACTTTTTCCTTCTTAAGTTTTGTTCTTTGTTTTTTTTTTACCTACATGCAGTATTTTGGGGAGGTATCTGAATTGGACACAGTGCTAGTCAAAATATAGACCCAGCTAAGGCGAGGTGTCATCTCTTAAAGTTATTTACTGTTGCTGAAAAATCATGGGATGTAGAAAGTGTAAAAACAAATGTCAGGTTGTAAATAGGACAGTAGTGCAGCATTAATGATTAGGGCCAAATGTTAAAAATCCCATGCCAGTTTCCTTTCTAAGCCCAGTGCTAACACATGTGGACTTGTCCAGACACATTTTTACTTGTTGTAAAATAAACACATATTTCAGCTAGCAATCGTAGTGACCTCAAATTAATCTTTCAAAGGAAAATTCTGTGATGTATGGCATTTTAATTAGATATGTTTATTTGATTTGAAGCCACAGATGGGAAATTCCGTCATCGATGTCTAAATAAAATATTTGTGGCATATTTCCCCCTGTATAAAGGTCTAAAGGGATTAAAATCTTTTGATTAGATTTACTTCTGAAAGATGGTTAATTGATTATTAATGAAATCTCAAAATTGATTAAAGCACATTTCTACCTTATTATCTATTGTGGCCTGCAATCTCTGGTAATTGTAACTTTCTTTTATTATAGCAAATCTCCCTTTGAAGAGTGGTAGGCACTAGACCATTTAAATAATCATTGACTCATTTGTACCAAAAGAGAAAGGCCTGTGTCAGTGTGGTGATCCTAGAAAAACCCCGAACTGAGTCATGAGTCTTGGATGCTAGTTCTGCTTTTCCTGCTCAGTCATCCCAAGAGCATGACTCACCTGTTAAAGGGGAATAATAATCCCATTTTCACCTATCTCAGGTGACCCCCAGAATTAATAAAATGTTATATGTCATACATATTAGTATTCTCTGATCATAGCTTATATAGAAGACTGAATACCAGGCTCTCACTCAATAGAATGAATGTCCACTCCAGCTGCTACCCTCAGCGTGGTTGGGTCAGTAATTTACATTAGTAGGCCTCAGTTTCCTTATGTTTCAAATGAGAGGGGACATGTTGATTTCCAGCTCAAAGTTACATGTGTATCTGGTTTGGTTTGTTGTAACAGCTCTGATGGGTACAAAGAAGTTATCGAAAATTTAGAAATCCAGCACAGACTAAGAAAAATGCAGAATTCCTAAATGGCATGCAGTTGTGAGTTCTTACGTAGGAGGGTGGTGATGGTATGCTACTCAGCCATGTGACTCAGGTGACTGTAGGCCCGATGGAAGATCTTAGGAAGAAAGTGATCTCAATTAAAATGCTCCTGAGCAGAAAGCTTGACTTTAGAATGAAATATTTTTAGACGTCTTGGTTAAATTGGCAGGAATCTTTTTGTTAAGATTCTTGATGAAAAGTGCATTTTAAGATCCAAAATTGGCTGTGAGGATTATGGACTGAAATAGCTTTCTCTTCATTTAAAGCAGATTCTTCTCCATATTGAAACAACACACTTGCCAACCAAAGAGTAAAGCAATATTTCACTTTTGAGGAAAGAGTTCTAGTAAACACATACACAAATTACCTTTTTATGGAATGGTGAATGGAGAGAAGCACTGCCTTAAAAAAATAAAAATAAAAATAAACAGATGTTTTCTTGTACCACCAGCTGCAAAGTTTAAAATTCAATTCAGCACAAATACATATTTAGTGGCTGCTATGATCCAGCCATGCGTTAGGCATCAGGAACAGAGCAGTAGACGAGACCAGCTTGTCCCCAAACCTCAGGAGACGTAATGTACAGGTATTCACTATTCTTTATTCTACTATAGACTTCTACTATTCTTATACTTAGTGCAATTCTTATCTTTTCTCTAAAACTTTTTCTGAACACCCAAGTGAGTACTAAGGTCATTGTATCTCTCCCCATGTGGTTTTGACTATTTACTATATATAGTTTGACTCCTGGTGAATGCCATGAATATTGGGTGAAGTATTTGTTTTTATGGTAGTAATTTGTTATTATTCACTAGACTATACTATATGGACAATATTTTGTGGCTTGCTGAAGAGTTTAAATTTTGTTCCAAAGGCTAATAGGGACCCATGAAAGGGTGCCAATAGGAGAATTGCGAGAACAGAGTCATACTTCATGAAGATGCTTTTGAAGTGTGGCGCGTAGATGGAAGTGGGACAAGACCTAAGGTTGGGAAATAAGATGAAAACGCACTGGAAAAATCCAGGAAGGATTGATGACTAAGACAGGGATGTAAAGGAGAAGATATAAAATCAGGCAGGACATTTGCAAGGTAGAAGTGACAGGACTTTGTGAATTCCAGGTTTTACATGGCATCGTTTATTGATACATAGAACGGAGAAAGAACAGCCAAGTTGGGAAGGGAGAGGTGGGGATGAGGCGTGTGGGCAGACACTGAGTTCAGCCTGGGAACTGTTGACTTTTCTGCTTACATGGAATTTCCAAATGGAGATAACCAGGAGGTGATCGGAAAATGTATGTCTAGAGCTAAGTAAAGAGTCATGACTAGAGAGATGAACTTGGACATGTCAGCGTATAAGAGGTGCTACTTATAACTATGAATGGATACAATTAAAAAGAGAAAGTGAGAAGACACCTGAAAAGGGAGACCTGGTGAGCACTGTAATTGAAGTGGTGGATCATTGAAAAGGAGCCCACTAAGGAGATTAATAAGTGGCTAAGAAGCACTCAGAGAGTTAGTAGAAGAACCTGCAAATAATGTCTTCAGAGCTGAGGAACAAGGGAGTTTAAAAAAGAAGAAAATGGCCAGCTGTACCATGTAAACAACAACAAAATGTAATTTCCACAGTTCAAAGCTCTTTTATATTGGGCTGTAAAGAACCCGGTCCTGGGGCATGAAGTCTGAACGACCAGGAACATCCCTAGATGGAAAAGGCAGCAACACGTCCGCTGTCCTGAAGTTGAGGAGCGCTCTTATGCCTTGGATCTTGGAGAGGAAAGGTTTCAGTTTTCAAAGAATTTACATTGGCTGCAAATAAAGGAGGGGTTCGGATAAGGTGAAGCATTGTCAGTTCTATGATAGGAGCACAGTCTGTAAGGAACCAATAA